ACTATTATCATCCTGGGACCTTCTCTGCTCTGGCCTTAGAGTCTGACCAGACAGTCTTGGCTTTGACCCATCACTGACCTTCTCTAGACCATCAATCTCACTTTACTAGGAATGTCCAACTCATTTCCTAACAAACTATCCAAGGTTTGACCAAACTCCTGCTTTTCAAAGGGATTTGTATCATCAAATACAGGATGGATGTGTGAAATCTGGGTTAATTTCAATGTAGTTCAGGAGGAACCATTTACATGTACAAGTGCATCTATAATTATAACCCACAGTGAAATTCGAGATTTGCTTGCAAGGAGGAAAAAAATGGAAATCAGCTTAAATTACACTGCAATTATGTCACAAAATATGGAGACAGCCAGTAAACTTATTTCTTTTCGGTGTTTTCACACTTCTACAACTAAATCAGTATGTGATCAGATATGTCAAAAATATTTAATTCACTAGGATCAGATTTGATATCATGATATCTAAATCTCATCATGACTTTCATCCATCCTGTACATTGAAGTGTGATTTAAAGATAATTTGAAATATTTGGATCATCCTCTTACTCTGGACAGTTCAAGTGAAGTGATAATTGTCTTGTAAATTTACACACTGTCGTTGATGGGTGTGATGATGGTTGCGATGGGTGCGTACATGCACTCTAGTCTGCTACCCCAAGGTGAGATAAGTGAAGCTCATAAGGCAACCAAGTGTTTTCTTCTGCTAGACTAAACAGCACAGGTAAACATTGTCTCACTCAATCACAATATGAGCATCATTACCTGCGCTAAATTGTATTTGCTTGGGCAACAACCTTCTTGAGGTTGCGTCAATATTAGTGTTCTGGTCATAGCATGGAGGCTTTTGTCATAACCGTGAAGCTGTGAATTGGTGAGCTGGGTATGGTGTAAAGGGTGGAAAAGATATCTGGGTTGTGTTTTATTGCCTCTCGTGACAATGCTTCAAACTTAGTTGTATTGTTGTTCACACGCCTCTCCCTCGTACCTGAAACATTCACATACTCTTTCAAATAGCTAGATGAATTATACAATGTAGGTTTTTTCTTCGTCAGGTATGGGTGAAACTGAATAGAAGTGCATTAAAATTCCACATCAAACGTAACCTAAATATGAATAGGTTTGCACTCACTGCATGATGATAATGCAAGGTGTTATTTAAAATGAATTGTATTTATCCAATGAGCTATGTAACTGCATTCTTTTGTTCATGACTACTGAATTTGTTTTTTTGAATCAAGTATTTGCATTCCTGTTTGTAATTCGGTCAGCCCAGTTTTGCCGTGATGTCGATTAATAGCATGTATACAAACACTGTTTGTTGTGCTATGAAGGCGTAGTGTCAGGGCACTCTACATAACCATTCATCATATCAAAAGTTGATTAAATTTGTTCTTGTTGATTAGATAAGCTAGTGTCTCATGCCATACTGTTGCTGTTTAACCTTTACTCAAATTGACTGCTAAATTGAATAATGGTTTTTTTGTGGCTCATCCCGCAGTGTTCATCTTTTGATAGTAGTAGACAAACTGCACAAGTACAGACCTTGTGCTGCTTTCGTAGAGAATCATGAATCTGGTTCAGTCCTTTTTTTCACATTTTATTTTTTGAAGAAGCATAAAATGCAAATTATTTATAGAATATCATCTTAATTTAGGTGTATTTTACAGATTCAAGTTTTGTTTTTATTTACCGATGGGTAAATACAAGAAATTTTGCAATTTTTTTTTTTTCATGGCTAATAATTTGTTATGAGTAAACATATATCAGCTTGTAGTGTTGTTTGATAGATAAATATGCAATAATGCATTGCCTAATAATTTACTATAAAGTATGTACGATATACATATTTTTGTTTGTGTGTAACAGGCATATTTGAGCTTTCTTTGACTAATCAAGCCAAGATAAATACTGGTTCAGTGGAGAGGCCAGTGGTCTGGAAGTGGGAGGTTCAGGGTTCTAAAGTAACCTTGTTTTTGTTATTGGTATTGTGGTCCTCACTTACCAACAGCGTGTCCACACACAAAACAATTTATCCCGAAACTCTATAACGAAACGTCGTATAAAGAATCATCGTATAAATTTCAGAGTGTCCACACACAAGAAACGTTGTATAAATAATCATCGTATAAATTCCAGGATGTCCACACACAGAAGAAAGTAATCCTGAAACTCTACAACGAAATGTCGTATAGGTGCGCAGTTTGCTACTGCGATCAAAAAATGGAAGCGAAAATGAGAGGTGTGGTCTCCTTTCGCTCGAGGTCACGTTAAGCCCCGCCCAGTTAGTTACACTAGTTACACTCTCCCCCTGTCCACACACAACATTTTCCGTGATAAGGCGTGATTCTTTATTGATTTTCAGTTCGAAACGATGCCCAAACCTGCGTTTCGTTAGACTAGTTTCGTTATACGACGTATCGTTAGTGAGCGTCCACACACATAATTTTCATCATAAAACTATCGCGAAACGGTATCACTGTCGCAAAACGGTATAGCTAATCACGGAAAATGTTGTGTGTGGACAGGGGGCAAGTCTCTTGATTGGGATGCAAAAATGAAGACCCCACGATGTCTTTCAACATGGACTTTTTTTTTTTTTATAGCAGTCAGGCCAAATTCATATGAACAACATGAAAAATATAGATTTGAAAAGTATCAGACTCTATTCACTGTAGGATAAATTTGTTGCTTTATTAATTTTATGGTGATAACATAATTAAACCAAAAGAAATTACTGTTGGTGAATATATAGTTGTTGCTAGTGCATATATGGAACCTTACGCTGATTACTGGAAATTGAAAGGCAAGTAGAAGATAAACAGAAATTAAATTGATATGAATGTTAGCAGGAAATTGTGTTTGCAGTTTAAAATATATGAAAGGATCAAACTGTATGAGTAAGGCATTGGCTTTGTGACCAGAGAGAGCTTGGATCAGCAGAGGAGAGAGAAACGTAAATTGGAAGCTGTAAATACCCGTTGATATGATGCGAAGTGACAGTATACATAGTTGTGTGTTATAAGATACTCCCCTATCATTGACTGATTCACCTGCCTCGATCCTCACCTCAATGCCTGCTAGAATAGTTAGCATCATGCCCTTCTTTCCATTCATATATTTATAAAACTCAAGAAAGTTGGGCAGCATTTGCTGCATTAATTTCTCTTCTAAGTTATATTTTGTGTAAACGTGTTTATGTGTTAACAATAATAATACTAGTGGAGTCTTGTATATTACCCATGTCTCGCACATTGCCACTCCTGGTGCACTGTTATTATTAGCCTGCCTGCCAGGTACCCATTTACCTCACCTGCGTACAGTGTGGCAAATGTATATTAATGTCTTGCCAAAAGACATTATAGTGCTGCAACAGGGATTTGAACCCCTTACCTTAACCTTGTGCTTCCCAGCCCAGAGACTTATCCACTGGACCACAAAACGTCCATTACAAACCTTTATCTTAGCATTTATTCTGCAAAAGTCAGTGAAATTTCAATCAACATTAATATAAAACAAACACCAGAGGTGGGTTATGCAATTTTTTTATTTTTTTTTGTGTCGACAAAACACCGGAATGTGAGAAAAGTCAATGATTTTTGCTTGCAATGTAAATTGTTTGAGAATGAGCAAGCAAGTATACCACCCCTATCACTAAACATAATGGAATAAGATAGGATTATTTTCAAAATACATCTTACGTCATTAACTTTGTTGCCACGTTTGTCTTATAGATGGCATAAGATGAAGTTATTTCCTACTATACTGGCTTCATTTGATCATGTTCTATCTTGTAATTGAATTGGATCCCAGTTTTTCTCTCATCTGTTGTTGATGATGTAGTTGATTGGTTATATATCCTCCCCTTCCATCATCCAATGTCGGTTCTTGGATGTATCTCTCCACATGGTATGCACTGGTCACCTAGTCAATACAGGATGAGCTGAAGCCTCTAGGCCGGGCTCTCACTCGATCAGCCAGTGATTGATGAGATGCTATTGATGCAGAACAATGCTCATTGCCAACCAATTACCTGCTCAAATTGACTCAGTGAACTTGCTTCAAGTCATTATATTACATTGCCATGCTGTGTGTCTGTTCCGGTCTAATTGTCTGTCAGTGTTCTCTCTTTTTCTTACCATTATCTCTCATCTCTCTGTACTTCTATGTATTGGGACGTCGTTCAGCTATTTTTGCTAGCTATGTTTACTCTTGAATATGATCACATACTCTGTTCAAATTTGCTCTAATTTTCATTAGGGCATGATCATGAGCAAAATACATTGTCCTAAAATTACCCCAGTATCTGACATTTTATTCCCTTTTCTCTACATGCTTCCTCCTCTGCCTACCTCTCATATTCCTATTTATTTAGTTTGTCAAACGGAGGAAGTCATGGTGTTATTACATGTAGATGTTTTTGATTATAAAGCTTGTGAAATGATATATTTCTCAGTGAGGGGACGTGTGAATGTTTCATGGGTGATGTTTGGTGAGATATCTGTAACAAGAGTTGTGATGTTAATAGGTATTGCTAAGGAAATGGAACGAGCATGGTTAAATGAGATGAAGGAGTATTTGTGGGGGTGAAAGTGGACAAATGGCAGTGTTTATGCGGATGTTGCTCTGTGGAATTATTAATATGATGATTAGGAGTATTAGGAGAAGAAGAATACATATTCTCTTCTGTATAAGAATATTATTGAGAGTGCAGAAGAACTTGTATGGTTTCACTGATTGTAACAATGGAGATTTCACAGTACCAATTATTTCACTACAAATATAATTAGAAAATATATATGATACTTTTTACCCAGCATGATTTTAACAAATTTATCCATTCTAGTGGATATGATTTTTCCTTATTATGTTTGATGAATTAAACAGCACTTCGTCTTTGTTGCAGTCCATATTTTAGTCACATTTGCTATGCAAATCATGACGGGTTTCACAAACCCATGTACAAGCATCGAGGCTTTAAATGTGAAATCCACACGGAAATGTTCAAGGTATGTGTAGAATTGTTTTATACTAAATATTCCTGTTTTCATTGTGTCTTTCAGGACCAACTGGATCGGATTGTTCTGATGCTCGTTGTGAGATTGTGTTTGACATACATTGTCCACCGGACAGTCTGAAGATAGAAGCTCAGCGAGAAGAAGGGCAATGCTGCCCTCTACCCCCTCAGTGCTTGTGTGACATGGGGGCGTGTCATGACGTTGTTTGTGCAGAGGGTTATAAGTATCATGAGATCATCGCTGGTAACGGGAGACCAGGCTCATGCTGTGCTACCTATGAATGCAGACCAATCAGTGAGTTACCAACATTCTTATTCTATAGCTATACAAAAGTTACCCTTTTTGTAGTCTGAACCAAAAAAAGTTTTATAATGAAAAAGTATAGTAAAATGCATATTTGAGTATCATTTTAAATGAAAACTTGATAAAGAATCTTGGGGGGGGGGGGGGGGGTAGACTCATGATAGACGAAAGTTTCAATTTAATCTGACAAAATACAAGAAAGTTTTGTAAGTTGTAATCATTATACGTATATGGGCACTTCAAATTGGCTGAAGCTGTAATGTCAATGTGATGTAGTGCCGGACTACTTTCCCATCTGTTCCAACATACAAAATTACTAAAATTTAAAATTTTCCCAAAATTCATTGCTCAGGAGGGTTTATTCTTTTTAGAGGACCTCTAATAATATGCTATCTATAATATATTTTGAGCAGTGCCTCAAGAGAGAAGAAACTTACGAGACAAAACAGAAATTAATGATATTTTGTACACAGCAAATGGGAGAGTTATCCACGTCCTACGTCACAATCCACTGACCAAACTACCAATTTGGGATTTGCATAGACTTAGTGATCTCATATTTCAAACATTCATAACTTCCTTACTATTGGTTCGATTCATTTCAATTTTTGCCATTATGTTTCTGTTATTTTTCTGCTTTCATACAATCAACTTTATGACAAGGGTTGGATTGCCCTTTAACTTTTGAGAGAATTACTGTGCTGCAAGATTAGGCATTGATGGGGGATTTCTCAGATATTTACACTAAAATTCACCAGAAATCATGGACAGAATATAAAAATGTGTTGACTTTGTATCTTTTGATAAACATAGGATAGTATGAGATCATAATCGCCTACAAGTTTCATTGGTTGTGGTAGCAGAACTTCACAATTCCTTTAAAAGAACATTTAATACCATTTTGAAGATCCTAATCCTAGGACATGTGATGACAAGGACCTACATGAAACAAAATAATCCATATCAATCATCTTTTGACTCTAGTTGATGAGAATATGAACTCTATTCCCCTGTATCTCATGCATACCCCTGTCACTTCATCTTTCCTTCACATCATATGAGGCTTGCACTTTCTCTAGAATGCCATCCAAACTAGAATCAATACCAGGCCAGGCAGGCACAGCCTTCATTTCAGTCAGGGAATCTTCACATTAATACTTGAAAGCAAAATTGATTTCCAAACATAAATAAGTTTAGTTTGCTTTTTTAATTGCTTGTGTTTGAAGAATATAATTGGAAAATGGGAAAATCATGCTTACATCTCTTGCTTCATTAAAGGTGCTAAAGAAACTAAGGAATAAAAATCTGGAATCAGAAAATTCTTAGTTGTCATTGTAATATTATTTAAAATGGATTTCTTCTTCATTAGATTATTCAAAGGGTTTTTATGTTAAAATATATTTGTGATAAACTTTATCTTTAAGTAATGATTAATATTTTATATGTTAGAAATAAAGTTATAAAAAGTTCTGCTTAATTGGAATGCTGAAATGAAATTACTCTTTGACACCATAGAATGTAAGTGGTTTAATTGATCTAAAGTGTCTCAATAGGTAACAGAGATATTGCAATTTCCGAAGCCCTTTTGAAGCGCATAGAGACTAAGTATTATGCGCTATACAAGAATGGACTATTTATGTTATTATTAAATTAAAAGCATGTTTATTGGAGAAAGACTAGGCAAGGAAAATGATGAATTGCATCTGAAATTGGTGTTCATTGTGGTGAGTCCTTAGGGATGTCATTTCAATTTGATTCTCTACAATTTCACCGGGAATGCTGCCAATTTAGAGATCGGATCAAAGACCACCCTATTCCTTGACACAGGATGAAGAGCATTGATACCAGTCTTGTAGTTATGGCCAATTTAAGAAGTAATTGTTTCAAAGTATTGGTTGTAATTATGTGATTCATCATTTGGAATCTGATTCTACAAAGCTTTTCTGGAAGGAAGTAGAAGTACTTTTGATTTGTTTCAGTGAAGTGAAAAGCCTTGAGAACTTTGGACTAAAGAACAGAATGTGTATTGATATGAAGGGGGGGGGGGGCGTAGATGTACAAAAGAGTTAAAAATAAATTATGATTTTGAAAGAATAATGGAGACCCAATTTTGCTTGAGAACATTGAATTAGAAATGTACTAAGGAAGCTTCTTAACATTATCTTTCTTCACATTCTTCTCTCTAACTGTGCAGAATGATATATTACCCAAATAACCACAATTTATTATCCTTCCATTTTCATGAAATCTGCAATAACATTTCTTCATGAAATACTATCGAATTGTTTAATGTACCTTGAGTTATACGATCCATTATGCAAAAAGCTAGGTCAATTTATTATGACTTATGGGGATTGTCAAATCAAGTTGTTATGATTCATATCTGTCAATTAAATAAGCTTAAGAGTTTTATGAATGAAAAAATACTGTGGTTTTATTGCTTCTGGTGTTTTGAGTTGTAATGGTCTTTAAGCGACATGCCATCATTTGAAAAGTTTGGTTAGCTTTCAACACTATAAATTTATGTGAATGTAAATGCCAAATTTTGACAGTTTTATTAATATTCAGATTGTTTATTTCAGTAGCCATTTTATGAGTTTGACCACTGAAGCCTTGATGCTTTTTGTAATGATGAACTTTGAGTTGTGACATATTGGAGCTGCCTTTGTTTTCTGATAGCAGGCCCTGTTTTCTAACAATCATCCCTCTCATAATGGGTTTCATAATTCAATACTAAAGTTTAGCGTTATTTGTTGTAGAGTGATCAGGTCGGTCAACCATCCCTGCATTTTCCAGCCCATCTATCAATCCATTCATCTTTCCATATTTCCTTCCTTTCATCAATCTGTCCATTTCTTCTTCCATTGCTAAATCCACTCATCCATCCATCCATCCAGTCCATCTTTCTATCTTTCTATCTATCTGTATATCTAGCTAGTAGCTATGCATGTATCAATCCTTCCATCCTCCCATCTATCAGGGCATTGTCTCTCTCTCTCCCATTTACCATTCGTCTATCCATCCATGCTTGAATCCACCAATCCACTTCTCCACTTCTCCACCCATACACTACTCTATCTTTCCACCTCCCTGTCTGTTCCACCTTGTCTATTAATTTATGACATAAACAAAGATGATGAAATGAGAAAGATTCTCTATGAATGTTATGGTATGGACAATGTTATACTAACCCTAGCTCACAGTATGATCTTGTTTGTACTCTCAGTGGATCCAGATCATTGCAATGGAGTGGTTTGTCCCGATAGCAATGTTATACTAACCCTAGCTCACAGTATGATCTTGTTTGTACTCTCAGTGGATCCAGATCATTGCAATGGAGTGGTTTGTCCCGATAGCACTCAAGAGATGTGTCCTCCTGATTCTACAGCTGTGATGGGAGGAATGTCAGATGATGGTTGCTGTATCTTACCAACCAGGTAAGCAAGTCTCTACAGTCAGTCAGTCAGTCAGTCAGTCAGTCAGTCAGTCAGTCAGTCAGTCAGTCAGGAAGATAGATAGATAGATAGATGAAAATGAGGGACAATCAAACTACTTTATTCAAAATGCCTCATCCAAAACCCTTCTCAAATCCCACCTTTTTAATCATTTATAGTATACTGGAGGCGCACACAAGTAGTTAATTCCATTCAACTCAATTGTATTGTATTAGTAATATTCCATTTTATTTTGTTGCTTTTAAGCTATTGAACATGTTGAATAAGTTAGACAGTACCACCTGTGCGCTTAGAAAGGCCTGTATAAAGCACCCTATAAATGTGTTTATTATTATTATTTATTTTGAAGACAATTGAAGCTCAGGCAACATTCTCAAAATGAAGCAAGTAAACATAGTTCTCAGCAAGCTGTTGGAAATGTTATTATTCAAGTTTTAAAAAAAATGCAAAGCTGAGTGTATATCTACAAAAAAGTCACTCACAGCTAATATTAAGACTGGTATAGGGTGTAACCTCTTCTTTTATCCCCTTCCTTACATGATAGATGTAGCTGTGCCCTTGAGCGATGTATCATACCATTGTGTTCACAGGGTTACTCTCCAAGAAGGATAGCTAGTGGTAGTACAGAGCCTGGTGCATGCTGTGATATCTATCAATGTGTTGTCGGTAAGTAATCAATCAATCAATCAATCACTTCTCTGAATCCACCAAATTTAGCACTTTTATCATCAGGACAATGTTTTATGTGGCATGACAGAAAGATCTATTAGTGTAAGGAACTGCTTCAAATTCATCTTCAAAACTTGAGATGAATATTAAACTACACTGTCGTTGTTTATGACTTGTATAAGTATACTATCTCATGTATTGATGTTCATTACATGTATATCATCAATAACAAGTTTTTTTTAAAGAGGAGTGAGTGGGCCCTCATTCAAATACATGAACACGTAGATCAACGTGTACAGTACAGACAGAGCAAGTGAGAACATGCTTCTACATCCCTCTCAAACTCTGTCATGATGTTTTTGTTGACATTAAAAACAGGATAATTTCACGGTGAGCTTCCATGCCATGATACCAGTGAATGTGAAGTTGAAAAGCATGAAATTCAGTCCAGAGTTTGCAAGGTGGAGGCAGGCATTGTTTAATTCCCCCAGCTCTATAGATACTTCATGAAGACAATGGGCGCTAGAATTCTTTGATGTCGTATTTGTTGCAGGTCTTTTTTTCCCTCTCTCTATGTAAAGATACGAGGGGGTGGATTTACTTTTACCCCAAGTAGAATTACCGAACAAGATACCTATGTCTTATGTTTCCATCTTTTTAGTTCGGTGTATGCTTGAAGAGTTCAGAGAGGATGTTAGGAGCACTTTATTTAAATCTACAGTGTTCTTCTTGCCCTCTTTATTTCTTTTGTTCAAATTTTCTCACAGTTTTTTAGATATAAAAGTGTATCGCCTTTTCTTTCGAGATTCAGTATATAATGACATAGATTGAAATACATTTTGGAGATTTCGTTATATTATATATATATATATATCAGTTACAAATTGATCAATCAGTTCAAAGGGTAACATGATTATAAGACGTGACACAATAGACTACTTGTGAACTTTAATACTCTTCTAGGTATGGTAATACACATGATTCAACAAGTATTTTTTATCACACTACTAATCAAATTATTATTCTTTTCTTAACATTGGTCTACTATTTCCCTTCATATATTCATAAAACTTTCATAATTTATTTTTCTCACAGAAAATTGATAAATAATTCCGCTTCTTTCACAACATGTCAACATATTGACTAGTTCCTGAAAGAGGTTCTATTTCAAGAGAAGAATTTTTAAGATTGAGGCCAGTGGGTATATTCTTAAAGTATGAGATGAAAGTGAAAGGTACATACCAAAATATAGAAATTTAGCCTTATCAGTGGCAAGTTACAAGTAATGTGATATCTACATTAAAATGAATGTTTTAGCCAATTTCTGTTGTGCATGATTATGATGTGCTGTCTTCTATCATGGTCTATGTATGCACCTTGTACCATCATTAGGGTTAATAATCCTTCTGATATGGTTTCTTGATTTGGTGCAAGGAACTAGAACATCCTATGTAAGGAGATTACAAACAAGATGGGAAAAAGTAGGTTTTCTGACAAATTGCCCAGGGAAATTTCATCATGTACACCTGCAAGTCAAATTGAAATCCAGGGTCATAACACATTGGAATGTAGAAAGGGGGAGGGGTTGACAGAAAGTGAATAGAACACAATGAATGTGAAATGTAAGTTGATCATGTAGGGTAAGAGGTTTTGTATTGACCAGTTTCTTAGTGACTTATAAAGCCCATGTATGCACAATACAGGATCAGCTTTTCACTTTATATTGCTTTTCAGATGTCACCTATCAGCATAGTTCTTTAGCAAATGCGAAAAAGTTTGATGGGAAGAATATGGCTTAGAAGTAAAAGTTTGATGTTGTTGAAATAGCTGTCCTTAACAATGTTTGGTTTTATAATATGATATGTGATAATAATTACTGCATCCCCTAGGAACATGACGAGTGGTCAGTGGTGTTATTCTGATTGGTGTATTGTTTCTTTGCTGTGTAGGTATTGTAACGGAAAGCTGTACACACCATGAGCATACCTACCTGGATGGTGAGTCCTGGACCGTGGGCCATTGTAAGACCTGTCAGTGTGAAAGTGGTTGGGCACATTGTATCGTTGAGCAGGATTGTAATCCTGAGGAGAACCAGCTGTGTCTGACTAGCATCCATGGTATTAAGATACATGGTGAGAGGTGGGATGAGGATGATTGTACCATGTGTGAATGCGTAGATGGGACATCAGCCTGTATGACCTCTAGCTGCGTAGTCAGATGCTACAATCCAAGGAAGGTCCCAGGAATCTGCTGTCCAGTCTGTGATAGTAAGTACCCAGCGAGCTATTCAGTCATCGATCAAATCAACACGTAACCTTTTGTGGATCTAGAGATGCTCCAACAAACTGATGATGTTCTTGCAATAGTAGGATTCTTAAAGTGCAATTCAACCTCTAAAGAGGTGTTTAGGGAGTACTAAGTTAAAGTAAATAGTGATTGAATCCTTTAAGGGAGAGAATTTTTTTGATGATCAAGAAACAGTAATACATTTATCCCATATATCATCTCTAACCCTGCGTTCAGGACTACCAGAATTCATTGTATAGCTATACCAGAATCGATTAGTCATTACATCTGTCCTAGTCAGAACGTCATATACAGACATTTATAATCAGATGTTGTATAACGAAATGCATGTTTTAGTATCATTTCAAACGAAAACTCAATAAAAAGAAAATGTGGGCCACTCTAGACTGAACTTTGTATCGTATGTAGAAAAAAATATCATATAAGTGGGTGGGGCTTATCGAGTGCACACTGATGATTGGCCAGCTGTCAATCCAGTTGACCTCTTATGAATTGAATTATTTTCTTTATAAGATGTCTTTATACGAATACGATGTTGTATTCTAGTCTGTAAAAAAATAAGAGTTTTGTATAAAAAATCCTTAATGCTGAACAGGCCATAAGTTGCTATGTAATTCTCACCGGGTTAAAGGTCAGAAGGTTTGGGGACTGCCCCCCCCCCCCCTCTGACCTCTGTACACCTCTGTTAACATGACTGTATCTCCTCTTTCCTTATCAGCTGTGACTAACTTCATCACAATGCACCCGATAGGTTGTCCACCTCCACAGTCTAACTGCACATTGCTGTGTCCTTATGGCTATGACAAGGATCAGAATGAATGTCCACTCTGCCAGTGTCTTCCAGGTATGTTCCACCCCCCCCCCCCCCCACCTTACATCTTCCCCCTATCAGTCATTTACTATCTGTCTTCTTACCACCTTACACATACACAACTACACATCAAGAATAAGAAACATAATACCTGAAGATGAGTGCTGCCCCGCCATTCATGTTGAGGCTTTTGGGTGCAATACCATCAAGTGGCCTCTATGAAAGTTGTTCCCCTTTAATATGGATGTCATAATATCTTAGCTAGAATCATAATAGTTTGAAGTTGATAAAATTGTTATGGAAAAGCCTTTCACAAAAAACCCTCTTGATCATGCTGTAGATTGATTGTTATGAACAGCAAAGCACACAAGCTAACAAAAACTTTCTGGAAAACACTATCATTGAAAGGTAAAACATGTAGAACCTCTTATGCTAGACCATTTATGCTAGACCTCTTATGTTGAGATGACCACATTTATTTCATTTTCTGTATTATATTTAGTCTCAAAGGTTCAGTGTGGGGTTATATCATTCTGTTTTATTTTATCTTTTATAAACAGAGCAAAGATTGCCTTAAACACTCTCGTTGGAAGAACTTATTTCAAATTTTTCATAACTCCAATCATTTCCTATTTTTGATCCTCTGAAACACATCTCAAGAACCAAAACCAACAACATCGAGAATGGTATCAACGACATTACCACCTACAGAATTGTCAACATCCTCGCGGCATGACCCAGCAGCAGTGACAACGTCTATGACCACACCAACTAGTACCCGGCACATAGAGATTGTCTGTCCACTCATAGACTGTGTTGAGAGCTGTAGTTTGGGCTATGTGACCGACAAGCATGGCTGTTCACTGTGTGATTGCGTACCAGGTATGTCCGGACCCCTAGGTCTATGCCTTAATGTTTAGAAAGACTAAGCACCATGAACATATCATACATCCCACCTACACCAACGAGATGAACACCAGACCAACAACAGACCAAACAAAAGACTAGCTTGAGTGGTCAAGAATTGGTCGGTTTAGAGTTGATTTAGTAGTGTAACTTAGGTTTTATATACAGGTTACCTCCAGCCCTGGAAGATAACCTTTTTTGGACAATTACTTCCAGAAAATATTGAGCAGTAATAGTTTGGCAGTCAAGCAGTATGTATTATAGATTGTTCCCAATTTCTGTTAATAACAGATTGCAGATTTTATCAATTTTTCTTTTTAAGAGTTGTTGGTAGTTGTCCAGACATAGTTAAAGCTTTTGCCATCCTTATTTATCTGCAGAAATCAGTATTTGTGAGGACATGACAGAGTGCACACGGAAGTGTCCCTTTGGTTTCCGTCAAGATGAGAATGGTTGTGATACTTGTCGCTGCCAGCAGTGTAAACCCATGGATTCATGTACAAAGTCTTGTCTCTATGGCTACCAGATGGGCCGTCATGGCTGCCTCAAGTGCAAATGTCGAAAGTGCCCCCCTCTAACAGACTGCAAGAAGCTCTGCACACATGGCTTTGAGCTCAACGATAGAGGTTGTGAGATATGCAAATGCCAGGGTAGGCTTCCATTCTTATTGCTTTTACTCTCAACCTTATCCCAGTAGCTTGTTGTTAAGAAAACATTCAGTCAATGCTTCACAACTTTTCTTCAAAATGTTTGGCCTACAAATAGTAGCATCTGTCAATAACTTACTTTCATTTGGTTTAATATATGTAAATTGTTATTTTATCACAGCTGTTGATTCAAAGAAATCACAAGATATTCCTGAAAAAGACCAAGAAACTTTTTAATAGTCTGTGAGATAACTCTGAGAAGGAATGTTATTTCTCCTCTAACAGTGATTTCATTTGTCATAAATGAATGAGCCCATGCCGTGTGTGTTGACAATCTCAATTTGTAATACCATTGCCCAATAGCATATCTTAGCAGACAAAGGACATAACCTGATGGTTTTAAGCTATTGGGTTTTAGAACAGATGGCTCATGAGAAACAGTTGCAAAATAATGTAGACTGATGAAGGAAGAAAGAGACGGCGAAAAGATTTGAAGAAAAATATAACTTTTGTCTAACAATACTTGACATTGGTTGCTTGAAGTGACAGCAGCATATAGACTTTTTGAGTGCTGATTTATTGCACTATCTTTGTGTGTAGAAACGAAATATGATAATAACTCATGATTACCGTAGGAGTCCTTCTTTATGGATAGGTCTCTTGATACTCTGGCGAAAGATTCAGGATTGAACCCATAATAGTGTTTGGACAGGGCACTTAGCCTATTGGTCTGATCGGCTTTCCCTTCGCTAACCGCAAAAGCCACAGACACTTAGAATGTCTCTTAACCACAGGATTGCTTCAGTCATATCTCTTCACCACAATACTCAGTCATGTGCTATTGATGTGTGGACATGATTCTCTTTTTCCACTCTGTCTGTCTATTTGTTAAGAATAATGTTGGGATCGGAGGGTAGTGCTTTTATTTCCTGTAAGATGTTAGGGATCTGAGTCTCCTACTGTATATTGTGTATTGTTTACATTTGATTATGGTTGCTTTATGTGGTTCATTTATCAACAATTTGAGAAGTAGTGTGCATGACTCTGTTGATTCAGAATAACAGAAATACTGGAGAGGTTTATTCAGTGGTTTAAAAACAGGGGTGTGGAGGGGAAAGAATATGAACGTTAAATACCTCATCGATGACCATTCTTTGGTTTGGTATAGTTTGTTGGTTTAACCCGACTGCTAAAAAATCATGCATACCGGTATACTTTAATATAATGCTCATAATTAAGCCACCAGGGGACCGAGGGCTTGGAGTCCTCTCTGAGGGACTTGGTAATTAGTATTATTGCCTCACCAAAGGGCACCAAGGCATCGGCTTGGTTTCAAACCTGGGACTTCCCAATTACGAGACCACTGACTGCGCCTTAACGATTCTAGATTTATTTTCTCAAGAAGCCGGCCACCATGTACTGACTTTTCTTCATCTCCTCTCTTTCTCTCTACTTGTTTGTTGTCCATAGCATCGGCTGTCATAGATCCCAAGCCACCGGTCCCATCTGAAGGTTCTTGCCAAGGTGTCGATGGTGTGGTCTATGATGATGGTGAGAGCTGGCATGATGGATGTAGACAGTGTTACTGTAGTAACGGACAAGAGATGTGCAGTCTCATTACATGTCAAGTACCAGCATGTAGTAAACCAGTCTTCAGATCTGATCAGTGCTGCCCAACATGTCCAGGTATGTTACAACGCTTCTCTTGGAAACTAAAAAACATCGGCATGGGGGATACTGAGAATGTGAGACTTATTTAAATGGACTCTCAAAGTGTGCTCTTTAGAGATTGATCAAAATAGAGAAAGTATTTTTTGCCAATTGTACAACACATCATGTTTCTATATGAGCTTTAATGAATCAAGTTACATCATTGAAATACTTCTTGCACTTGTAAAGAAGTCACCAGTCTTTAAAGATATTAGAAACTAAAGAAACTTGTGAAACACAAAATTCTTTATTGTGGTAAGTTTGGCAAATCCGAACGACTTGCAAACTTCTTAAACATGTGGGTTTTGACAATAGTTATAACCCGCTTGGCTTATGGAAGCATGATCCTGCGCAGCGCTGTCTCTTCACTGTACACTAGCTCCCTAATGTTAGATGATATATGTGACTGGAGATTATGTATGCTTGCATGTATGAAAAGATTTAGAAGTGTTTTGGAATTTGCCATGAATGTCTGTCAGGATACATAAATGAATGCTTTATTGATTGATTTGTTTCTTGAAGCAGACTCTGGTGTGACCCAGCTACCTGCAGTCATATCTCAGGTTTGTCAATCAGCCAGTGGTCAGTACTATGTAGAAGGAGAGACCTGGATGCTAGGTAGGTGTACCTCATGCATGTGCCATGCTGGACAGGTGCTTTGCTCTGCTGAAGTGTGCCCACCTCTGCCTTGTGTAAACCCAGTCTTCAAGGCTTCCCACTGCTGTGCAGAGTGTGAAGAAGGTGAGTATTTCTTCTCAGAACCTATTGATATTGTTTATTTTTAAGAAATAAACCTCTCCCTAAGATAGTGGTTGGGTTATTCCCAAAAGGTTGCGCGAATGACATCAAGGGATAGAATATCATGAGACTTTCAATGAACATTAAGCTTTTGCATTTCAAACTTTCTTTTACAATGTTTTTTCTTAAACCATTGCCTACTGAGGAAGTAGTTGGCTTTTGTGATTCAGTTTTAGTTTAGTTTCAGTTTTATTTTAATTTTCATTTCCATTTCCAACAGAACAGTGATCTTGACAAGAAATCAGATATACAATTCAATATTTAATATTATAATACATTTTACATGGTTTAAATTTATAAGAAATAGAATATAAAAATCCAATATAATAGTTCTTTTCGTTTTTTAAAGTTAAACCTGTGGAAATGAGGGGATCCAGTAGTCAATGGGTGGAATGTTTTTCCCATAAAAATGTGAAGATATTTTTGTAATCAGATGCATGTTTAATCAATGTCTGTTCAATTGTTGATATTACCTGTGAGCTAGGAAAGCAAGTACGTCCCTGAAAGTAATTGAAGAGGAACTACACATGTAATAGCCTGTTCAGACTATAGGAAAATTATACAACACTTGTGTTTATAAAGAAATGTTTTAAAATGAAAGGAGCATGCAGACTAGAAAACAACATTGTATAAAGAAGTTTTGTTTACAGAAACTAATTTTTCCAGGGTCGGTTGACATGAAAGCTAGCCGATCAATAGTGCACGCTCACGATACCCCCCACCCAGTTATACAATTATCATACATACATTACAACATTCAGACTTGAGTGGGACCCTGAGTCTTTATCTGGCTTTCGTTCCAAAAGATGCTCAAACAGGCGCTTTGCTATACAATGGTTCATGATCTATACATTTTTTATAAGATGTAGAAAAACTTGAATGACTTATCGTATCTAGCTATATGATTCTGATAGAGGTATACAATGATTGCTGATAGCCTGAGCACAGAGTAGGTCGTATACAAAGGATCGAATGACTATATGTTACCTTAGTTCACTGGTGCAATGATTTGAGCTCAGAACACAGTAAAGGTTTCAAAGCCATGTCACCTCCTAATGAATATTTGACATACATGTACATAGCAAACGGAAAGGAGTCTTCAGTGATGATATTGATATTGATATTTGCTACATATGGTTTATTATGTGAATACTTCAATATGATTTGAATACATGGTTAATTCTCTTGCTGACCCTTACATTGTCCTATCCCAATGCAGTGCTTGCAGAGGTTCCCATTGGTGATCCTACCGTGGAGGAGTCCTGCATGTTACCCAATGGAGTGACCTTCCAACATGCAGCTACGTGGAAGGAAGATAGTTGTACTAGTTGTCAATGTGTGTCTGGTGAGACCATGTGCTTCTCACAGACATGTCCACCTGTGGATTGTGATAAACCACTCCTCAAGAAAGGACAATGCTGCCCAACATGTCTTGGTGAGTGAAACATACATTCCTGACAGTGCAATGTCCATATATTCTGTATGGGGTTTACTGTAATGTCCAGTCTAAATAGTTTTAATTTGCCATCCTTCGATCACTACTACATTTAGTTGTTAATGAGCTATACCAATGTGGTCTTATGCATGTCCTGTCTTACATTTCTCTCTGAACTGAAATGCATTTGCTTACACAACTAGTGATGGCTCAGTTTGCATGAACTCCTTCTGATGTCTGTTGATTCTTAGCTCTCCAAGCTTGATCTGTGTCAATAGATGCATTGTGTCTTATGAAAGAGACCTTGGTAGTCACCATGGTATACCTCTCTCTGTCTGTACGTCCCATCCTCTATACCTCTCTCTGTCTGTATGTCCCATCCTCTATACCTCTCTCTGTCTGTATGTCCCATCCTCTATACCTCTCTCTGTCTGTATGTCCCATCCTCTATACATCTCTCTGTCTGTACGTCCCATCCTCTATACCTCTGTCTGTATGTCCCATCCTCTATACATCTCTCTGTCTGTACGTCCCATCCTCTATACCTCTCTCTGTCCGTATATCCCATCCTCTATACCTCTCTCTGTCCGTACGTCTCATCCTCTATACCTCTCTCTGTCCGTACGTCTCATCCTCTATACCTCTCTCTGTCCGTATGTCCCATCCTCTATACCTCTCTCTGTCTGTACGTCCCATCCTCTATACCTCTCTCTGTCTGTACGTCCCATCCTCTATACCTCTCTCTGTCTGTATGTCTCATCCTCTATACCTCTCACTGTCTGTATGTCCCATCCTCTATACCTCTCTCTGTCTGTACGTCTCATCCTCTTTACCTCTCTCTGTCTGTATGTCTCATCCTCTATATCCCTCTCTGTCTATAAGTTCCATCCTCTATACTTACAGAAACCTTTAACCCGGTAGAAGTCAACCTTATATTATTATCATTCTCTTAGATCCTGATACTAGACTTGTGTGTAAGTCAGGAGGTGATATCTACGTCAGCGGTGAAACCTGGAGAGTTGACAACTGTACCAACTGTGTCTGCGAGGGCAGTAGAGTCTCTTGTACGATATCACATTGTCCTGTAGTGAAGTGTGAGAATCTTGTTCATGTATTAGGAACATGCTGTCCGGTTTGCCAAGGTAAATTTTCTTTTTTTTTCCATTTTTCAGAAACTGTTGACAGCATTACAAGCACGTTGTATTATAGATACTGGAGTATTTTCAACATTTTTAAAATTCCTCAAACATTCAACTGCATGGGTTTATTTCAGCATGGGTTTATTGTGTAGCAAACTGATGATGATTGTGCGGAGCTATCTTTGCAGGGATGATAAGTTCCTGAGGGTCGTTGTCCTGGAATGTTACCTATTGTAGTTTGTTTAATTATGAGATTAAGAAGACAAGCAGGGCCGGGAGGTAGTAGATCTGTGGGATCATCTAGTTACCATGTTTATGTGGGGGATATGAGATTCTGTACCTTCAGTGCTGCATGATAAGCACATTTGCAGGTATGCCATGAATGTCAATTGGCACAACCAATAGGCACCAATTAACAGAAGAATTGTACTGTGAATTACAAAGAGCTTCACATGATATCCTTTTCAACACATGTATATAATTAAGTTTTTAAAAAAACTTCTAAACTTGTGCAAAAAAAAAAAACACCCCTGGATTGGTGATCAACTATTCTCCACATGCCATGAAACATTTTAGTCTTGAAAAAAGAAAACTGATTTTATTTACCACTCTCGGGTATACCGCTCCTTTAACTGTATCTTTCCATTCTCAAACTTATGTAGATGCCACAAAGTGGCCAACTTAGATTTATGTAGACTCCAAAACCAATATAGACTTTATGTCTCATAGCCGTTACCTAATTCAATTGCAAAGAGTTACTAGATTATTTTCAGGTATTTACCTTCTGATTTCTTTGAGCAAATACTTCAACTGAAGACGGCATGTCAGGAAGGTCATTGCATGAAATCTCCATTTTACATTAATGGTGACTCCAATGTGGTGACTCCAATGTGCAAACAGCAAAGAGACTTCTATCAGAGAATCAAGCTCAAGAATTTTTAATCCGATCTTATTTCATAGAATTTCTTTAGGATATTAAAAGGAGGATGTTTATCTTAAATCCTGAGAAATGTTGATGAGTGCGAGTCAATAATACAGTATAATGATTATTCATGATATGAATCTGGTTTAGTTTGTAGAAGCTTTTAGAGCTAACTGAAATTCTTTCTCTATCTTAAAACACCTGTGTTTATATACAGAGATATGTTGATAAGATTACTGCTCTTTTTCATTGTTTCAGGTTGTTTTCTGTCACTAGTTAAGCTGTCTATGTTATCCATAAATATTTGCAAAGTATCTTTTAATGAAACGAAGGTCTGCAGTATACTATACATCATTATATGTCTGTACATTTATGTTTAATCTCGTTTTCACTCTCTTATCTTATCTTGTTCTTGTATCTTTCTTTTTATTTTTCCTGTTACTAGAGTATATGTTTCTCCTCTGTTCTCTTTTCTAAAATAAGATTTGTATCATTATTTTACCCTTTCCTTGGGAACATATTTTCTCTCTTTTTTATTAAATTTGTACAATTAAAGGGTAATCAGAGATAACCAATCACTTCTCATATTCTTCATTCATTTATAAATTGATTTTGTGTAGTGATATATTTGATATATCATGGCATTTTTTTTCTAATCAACATTTGAATTTGTTTGTATTTGTACATTTAGATGAAGACATATTAGAGTATCAAACCAAACGACCTACAAAGATATCACATACTGGTAAAAAAGGTGAGCAACAAGATATCATCGCATTATTCACTTTAATATGATCAGACATTTGCTCTTGTGACAATTTTGTAAGTGCCTTATTTCATTAGGGATACAGGGTTAGAGCTTTAGTTGTGATAGGTAATAATTAAGAATTTGCTTAGTATAAGAAGTTGGCTTTGCAGAGAAGTTCTTGCCAAAAAATCTATTTTAAAATCTATAAAATAGGGGTGATTGGTAAATGGATTTGGCCCTTTTGCAGTCCCTTTACATGTAGCACTTAGAATAAAAAGATCTCCCAAATTTTAACTTCAAGCAAATATATATATATATATATATATATATACGCTCAGCTCTAATAAAGATACAATAAACTAGCAATAGATCTTTTTAATATATTCTCTGAATCTAGATGATCAATATACAATCCAACCCTTTGGTTGCTATGAATGAATAAAATAAATAAATATAACAGCACTCTATTAGCCCTAACTAATTCATGACTAAAGTAGAAGTCCATGGAATTATTTAACTCAATTGATGACAAAAATTGTTGCTTTTCTCTTAATATCTTTGTTAGATTTTGACGCTACCGAGCCTGCTCCAAGCCCTGAAAAACCAAAGACACAGAAACCTTATCGTGATAAAGGTAATTTAGTTTGTTTGTTTATAAAGATATCTATGTCAAATGTTGATTATTACACAGTATGTGAAGATCGTCTTGATTTATTGATGATTTAATGGTCAAAAGAATGGCATACAGGATACATTATACAGTATCCCCCAGAACAACATCCACTCAGGCATGTGATTCCTCCGCTAAATACCCTGTTTTCGAGATTTAAAAAAAAGAAAGAAAAAAGAATTAAATAAAATACTTCAATTAATTCTCTCATCTGAACAATGTATCAGACTCCCTTTAAAGCCTTTTCTGCACTAGTTTAGCCAGGAGGGTTCAGACCTCCCTGCATGGTCACTGACAGGTGTTTAGCTCATCAAATCAGCTCTCAATTAACATAAAAAGGGGACCATGGGGGACCAACGGTCACCACATAGGCATTGTTTACTATATAGAGGGCGCAAGTAGCTATAAGTAGTGCAGTGGGGCTTTAAGCAAGTTGGAGTAACAAATATTTCTCAAATTTAGAATTTAAATTCAAGGAAAACATGTTCTTTTACTTTAATATATTCTAAAGTTTTCTGCAGAAAGGGGACACGGCCCCCTTAACCCCAGCCAGGGGGCATTGTCCATTAAATCTTTCTTCTTTTGGTTAATTTCTCTGTCTCATCCCTGCTACTACAAGATACACACTAATGTAGTTTCAACATCTCTATATCTGTTTTGATATCTCTATGTTTTCACCTACAGTTTAGTCAATGCCCATCTGGTCTTCAGTGTAAGATATCCTAATTGTACCTTTTTTCCTTGTTTTTTAACCTGGCTGGCAGACTCCAACATGGCCAATCAGTCAGGAGATAAACAGACCCCTATCGCTGCCAAGCGTCATCCTTTCCCAGTCTACCCCGTCGTCATGTCTATCCTCGTCATCCTACTTGCAATCTGTATCGTTCTCCTACTTCTTCTCTTCGTTACTAAACGGCGCCATCGCCTGCTCTACCATGTCAATGTCAAACCCATCTGTGGCAAAGGTCAGCCGCCTCCAGCCACCGTCAAGACAAAAAACACGGACCTCAAAAATAGCAACAATAGAGACTCTATTCGAGATTCGGCCATGTTTAAAGACAATTTACCCACAAAGGCAGGCGTGAATAGCGTGGTATTAGATGGGAAGGATATAAAGAGATACAGTGATATGTTTGCCGTGGGGAAGAGTATCCAACCTGTGTAAGATGTGATTCAGCGTCGTCATCACTGACTCTTTTAGTTTCTCATTAGCTTGTCTGAAAGACCTTATGAGAAATCCAACAGAGATGACATCTACGACCGACCCCTTCTTCATTTGCCAAGATTTCAAAAGTCTCATTTTTATGAATAGAAATGGTAAGTAATAAAGACTGTTTGTGATAGAGAAAGTGTCTCTATGTAGAAGGACCATCCCACCTGTATGAAGTCATTCAGAGTATGAGGTCTTTAAGAGGTATCAATATGAGAGGTACAGTCCCTCAATTAATTTTATTTGTTTAAAAGGATAGACCTATCTTGAGAAATTGAAACAATTTAGGGGTTCACCTCGGTTGAATTTAGGGGTTCACTTCGGTTGAATTTAGGGGTTCACCTCCGTTCAATTCAAGGGTTCACCTCCGTTCAATTCAAGGGTTCACCTCCGTTCAATTCAAGGGTTCACCTCCCTTCAATTCAGGGGTTCACCTCCGTTCAAATCGGGGGTTCACCTCCGTTCAATTCAAGGGTTCACCTCCGTTCAATTCAGGGTTCCCCTCCGTTCAATTCAAGGGTTCACCACGGTTGAATTCAGGGGTTCACCTCAGTTCAATTCAAGTTTTGAATTGGTTAATAGTCTGACAGTTTTTGACATTTAAAGGTAGTTTGTTCCAAAGTTTAGCAGAAGCTTTGCAGAAAGAGCGATGACCATAGTAAGTTGATATTACAATAATTAAACCACTCTCTCTCTCTCTCTCTATCTTTCTATCTCTATTTCTATCTATCTCCTTTCCTCTCACTATCTTGCTTAACTCACTCGATCATTTTTACATGAGTGTAAGCAGAGATGTGTATACATAAATACTGAAGAGGAAAACATCCATCACTGTAGGTTGTCATACTTTCACTGCCATTAAACTCATCTGTGAGTCATGTCATTCCATTTTCTGAAAGAAGATATCCCATTTTACAGACATTGAAGTCCAGCTAGGAAATGATATATTTTCTGCTATTGAGTGAATTCTTAGACAATCCATATACCTGTTCTCTCTATTGCAGTAAGTGGTAATATATGTTTCTATAAATTTAATTTCCACTTATAAATTGACAAGTTAGTCAGATTTGCCAATAAACAAAGGCTGTGTAAAATACAGGAAGGTGGTCCTTTTAAACACTTTTGAATATGGTCTCTTGAAATAAGAACTGTTTGTATTTTTGTATGCCGATGCTAGAAGAAATGTCGTTATTGACTTGAAAGTTTTTTATTTTTTACATGGCTTTAGCTCATGTATGTTATGTAGTCCTTGTTACAAATAAAAGGATTGATTTTAAATAGTACTATTTTGTGTGTGTTTGGGTCGTCATCGGTTTATAACATAAAAGACAACAAGTGTTTCCCTTTGCAAACTCATGCTACTCTGAAATTGCCAGGAATTTTTTCTAGGTAATATTGATGTATTTTATCAATTAAACAAAATGACTCTTTAATATTGACAGACATGCACATATCTTGTAGTATGTGTGAGAAAGACATCAAGATGCACTAATTCACCCAACTATAAAATGTGGAATCGATTTTATGATATTCGGTTATGAAAGTACTAACTAGTAGCTCTTGTATGAATATTCAAGAACTTTGGATATTTGATGTTTGTATTGTTAACAAGCACATTCAACACAATGCAAAGGGACATAAATGCTTGTTCTGTAGCAGACAAAACAGGGTGTTTATTACTAGTCATTGAATGACACCACTGTGCTTACTGAACGATGTATGGACCAGTAGTGGACTAGTCATGAGGTACGTCCATACAGTCTGTATCACTAAAGCTCCTACTAACAACTCATAGCATGTATTCTCTAAAGAACTATCTCTCTCTGTCTGTCTGTCCAAATTAAATGGAGATGTAGTAGTCATCTTAATGATCTTGTATGCTTCTTTTCTCCTAAATTATTGTTTTTGCCAATTTACATAAACATGGATTGGCATGTTTGACTCTAAGACCCTTTTGTAAAGGGATGTTGTAAATATATATATAGATATAATAAAATATATATATTTCATTTGGCAAGGCTGCCTGAGCATTAATGGCACAGATAAGAGCAGATAATGCTACTGTGAAAACCTATTTGTTTGCTCTGTATGTTTTTATTTGTGTGTTCAACTTTTGCACTTTGTGCCTTTTTATTTGTCTATATGATGGTAGGATTTATTTTGTCCTTCTCTATTTTTTTTGTAAAATGTATACAGGCAATTAACTTTTTGCAAAAAAACTGTACTTCTTGTTAAATTTCCTATTCTTATGCTTGCTAATTTGAGATATTTTTCTTTTGATTTTGATGTTGAAATAATTGGTGCCATAATGTTGATTAAGACAAGGAAGAGGAGGGAGAGTTTATAACAGGGTACTGTTTATTCATGCTCATAGTATTCCCCATAAATATTTGTATTCTCCATTCCCCCATCATTGATGTAATCAATGCAGATTTTTTTTCTGAAATTGAATATTAGATAAGATATGTTGAAAGGATAGCAGGTAATTATTGTACTCATAAGAAATCAGTGTAAATCTATGTAATGCTCAGTGGGTGAGGCGTGTTGTGTGAACTGCTCATAGGTAAATTGTTGTAGAATTGTTTTTAAAAAGTGTCAGGAGTCAAGAAGAAATTTCAGCTCAATTCTTAACAAAAATTTGACCACATTTGACCTTCTTATCCGTGAGTCTCATTCAGATACAAAGCAGTAAGCTGCAGAAGTTTCTTATTAATGATGATGTAAGTGGAATATGCTTGATGTTCCTGTGTCTTATATCACAAAGCTCAGTCTGTTGCGCTCAGGTGCCATTCATTTACATGTTTCATATAATTCTGCTGAGGTTTGCTGCATCATATCTGAGCGAAACTTAAATGTGTTAGGAAGATCAGGAAAGATTATGAGAGGAAAGATAAGATGAGGGTGCTTCATCACCTTGGTAAATCTAACTTCATATTACATGACACCATCTTGAATATCACTGTGAAACAATGTTACTTTTTAATCAAGAAAACACATATCACTATTTAGGCAGTTTGACGTGTGTACAGCCTTACTAGGGTTAATACATTGTACATGTACATCTAATATGCATACTAATAATCTATCTGCTCAAGGCATCCTGCCCTGTACCATACAACTCTGTGTACGCGTGACATCTGATCAATTATACAATCTTATTTTCTCATTTATACTGATGACAATCAGAAGTTGTAAAATAAATTGAGTTTAAGTTATACATGTAATTAGATAATGTTTTGTTTTATTATTATGATTTTAATGTTTACATTTATTGTACACTGGCTGTACATGTACATAATTTGGTGTTGAGGCTCCACTCATGCTATGGTCATGCATCCCTACTATTTGATATTGGGCATCAACTTTCTGCTCAACATTCTCATTAAGATGGGTGTTTTTGATTGATTGAAAGGTTTGAATAATCACCCACTGTTACTCAAATTTAGGGTCATACAGAGAACTCCAACAGACGGACAGTTTACTTCACAGAGTAGTCAGGTTTATCAGAATTTTAATTACTTGAGATAACAGACATAATAAGTTGAACCAAAAATGTTTTTTCATTGCTCTCCCCCCCCCAAAAAAAAAAAAAAAAAAAAAATAAAAAATAAACAATAATATCGTCTGTTCATGCATTTTACTAAAACAGTGTAAATAATTCAAATTTTGATTGAAGTTCCAGATACCCTTGAAATGTACCAATCACCAACAATTATTTTTCTCTGTATGTAAGGGGTTCCATGTCACAATCAAAGTATGAGTTTTTAATATATTTCTTTTGTACATGCAGAGATACTGTAAGTTTTTTTCCACTCTGGATTAACACAGAGGCACCTGGTGGCCGGGTCAACTATTTGATCCACCCCTAGGTGTTCCCTTGGACTAGGAGACACACTGAACCCGGCTAGTCCGACCGACTTGGTTTCAGTTTGCAGGCTGATACTCCTTCACAATTATCCCACTGAATCCTAGCTAGAGTCTTTAACCTTCATCTTCTGCGTTCTAGCGGATACAGAAATGACTGGAGTCTGTCAGGATTGGAGCACTGTCTTTGAGAGTAGCAAGCTTGTGTATGATTGCTCCACATAGATATCAGCTAGGTGGGCGGGCGGGCGGGCTGGAGTATGGTAACCAAGCTACTTGTGTACAAGGTTTCTCATTACATTCAATATATACATACCGGTACATACAATTTGCAAAGGGACTTGCAGTATGTTACACATTCATTATGGGATAACCATACAATTCAATATATTATGCAAACAATCTCAAATCAACATTTAGTTGGTGCTGTATATATGGCTGTATTGTGGTGTGCAGAAGACATTTACATCATAATACATTTTAAAGATAAACAACTCATTAATTATGAAATTCATTGATTAATCCAAAACTCCAACCATGTACTTTAAAGGTATGTGGAATGTGGTCTTATTTCTGCATCCCAATTGACTTTATTTACTTGGAAATATGTATATGTTTATACCATTTACAAATTTTTTGGGGAAATTAAGACTCGTCAAGAGTAACTTGTCATCCAAATGTGTCCCTTTCTTGAATACCTTCTCTCTATCATTTATTTATTCTTAATCTCACAACTAGTGATTCCCATTGCTTAAGATGTAGGTGCTTGTACTATCCGCTGATTTATTATTACTGTGTTCTCCCGGAGTTTGACTCTTTTATTTCTCTTAATGTTTAATTATCTACTTTGTATGTCTTTGTGTGTGTTTCTCTCTCTCTCTCTCTCTCTCTCCCTCCCTCCCTTCCTCCCTTCCTCCCTCCCTCTCTCTCTCCCCCTCTCCCTCCCTCCCTCCCTCTCTCTCTCTCTCCCTCTCTCTCCCTCCCTCCCTCTCTCTCTCCCTCCCTCCCTCTCTCCCCTCTCTCTCTCTCCCTCTCCCTCTCTCCCTCCCTCCCTCCCCTCTCTCTCCTCTCTCTTTCTCTCCCTCTCTCTCTCCTTTTATTCTGCAAGTACTCTTGTTTTCTTTCCCTTCTATGTATACCAATCTTCAAACTACCGGTATTTAGAAATACTTTTTTTTCTTCAAATATGTGTCTGTTCATTGTTTTCCTACCACTCACATGATTTACCTTGTTTTCTCTAAATCTTGTAAACCCTTTATTATTTTCACTTTGATTGTCTTATTGCTTTCTCTGTCCTTTCGTCTCCTTTATGCCGGGGCCTCTCAGGTCCTTCTGTGTACCAGCTCTCCTCGATCACTCTTGATCCATCTCAACATCTCCGTATACTTGATACAGTATGTAGGTATCTCCCAGTCCTGTGCACAAACTCGCATTCATGCAGCCCACCTTGTCATATATAAAACCCCACAATCTTATTAAAGCCAAAGGTTTATTTGTCTTATGTTGTGAAAATCAGTTTTCCTGTAGTGGAAGAAATATTGCTTTAGTTTGTTTCCATGTCAATGTTTCCCTGTTTGTTGACTTTGGAATAGGATATTGCTTTTACCTACTAAGGCAAATTTTGTCTATGCATTTAAAATTGATTCAGCAATATTAGTGTACAAAATGGGAAATGCTTGTAATAAAATTTGCTAATTTATAAACAAATCATGTTTGATGTGTTTATTATTATCTCTGTGTCATGTGTCGTATTTCAGTAATAACTTTCATGATAAAAATCTATAACGCAACAAGTTAAACATTGTTTAAAGAATCATCATTTACTTTTTTCAGGTTTTAATTTCAGAATGGGGGCTGATCCAAGATACAGGGAATGAGGAGGTACATAATAAAGCCACAAGGTAGAAGTAAGCCGGGGTGTATTGCAGCATAATCGGCTGTTATCAGATTTGGTTGAATTATCCTTTAATGTGTACCAAGGTCTCTCAGACTCAAGTCAGTAAAAGAGGAGAAGAGGGGATTCAATTTCAAACAAATTAATATGAAAATATTTGTTAGATAACATACAGAAAAGGCTATTAGCCTTAATGGGATAAGGTAATGTGTCAGAAGGAGGAAAAACGAGATGTCTAGTATTAATATCTTCTAATGCCCCTTCTCCCCCCCCCCCCCCTTGTATGCCACTACATGATTATAATCACGTTCCCACTAGTACCATTTTGACCTCCAGTCAAATAGTACTACATGTATAAAGATGTATAAAGATGCATCAATTTGTCTTGTATCTAAAATCATTTAATTTCATTCTAAATTAAATTTTGTTCTTCTATTTGTTCACCCTTCTTACACCAGCAGGTTGCACTTATTGAAATTAAATGATAATATATGCCGTGAGTGAGAGCAAAATACAGCACATAGGAAATACAGACTATGGTTAATAAAAACTGTTGACTTATACTAAAAAGATATGAAGAACTGAAGCATTCTACTCTGTACCAAAGAACTCTATACTGCACACATCAATGGCAGTATTTATTGCAGTTGTCCTGATGTTGCTCATCAAATGTTCTAGGAGCTGCAAGGATAATCTCCACAACAAATCCAATTTGGTCGAGAGATGAGATGAAATGACAGGTGCCTATCTTATTGAGACATTCTTAATTTCACATTCTCAATTAATCTGTCAATATACTAAAGGGATTATCTACAGATTACAGGATCAAAACATTTGCTTTATGGGTGTCAAAATCATGATGATTGACGTACAGTCTCAATTGTAATCACACATCAAAATATTTCAGGAATTAATCGGAGCTGATTTCATGAGTAAATTCAGATCTCGGCAGAATTTAGTATGCTGAAACTTTGGGGAAAGAGCTTACCCTTTCTTCTTATTATTTTGAGGTTGTGTGTGTTCTAGGGATGAGATGGGGATTATGCTGATTTACTGGAGGGGGTACGTGTGATTGAGATTCTTCAGTTGGCTGCATGGCAATCTCAAAGTGTAGGATTAAATACCAGAGTCGAGATTGGGATTGTGGTTTTTGTTCTTCTCTTCAAGGCTAGCTCTATGCTCACCTGCTATTTGAATGTGAATGCATTAAGGCAATAGTGAGGTCAAAGATAGGACCTCAAAAGGGCAAAAGATTAGTTTGTTTTTATTTTTTGATAAGGTGTTGTTTCTGACTTCTGACAATGACTCTTTGAATTTAAGAGAATTTAAGAAAAGAAATAATTCCATGATGTAAGTCAGGGGAGCAATGGGAAGAGGGTCTGGAGAGAGAGAGAGAGAGAGAGAGAGAGAGAGTGTGTGTGTGTGTGTGTGGGGGGGGGGTGGGGATGGACTACAAATGATGCTATAGACCATGTTCAACCACTCATACCCACTCATACATATTGTTGTCCAATTATCCTAAGAATTTGATTTACTTGATTTTCGATCTCCAATTAGGCAATTTGAGCATGAGAAAGTAATGAAAATGAAATGTTGCAATCCAAATATAACAAGTTTACAAATAAAGCCAACCTTCCTCTATCCACCCTAAACAAAATATCAAACAAGGGAAACGCTCTCGGGGGTCTCGCCTGCATTACGCAATTCAATATGATGAAAAATTATTCATAGGCAGAGTGGCCCATTAGCAGCCCCCCTCCCCCCCCCCCCCCCCCCCATGAAATCCTCTGAATATAATCAGCATTTTGAAGTGAATATTGACCAAGAGTCATCAGAAGAATTATTTACTATAATTTGTACCAAGATTAATAACTTTAATGGAATATGAAAAAAAATAACAATTAAAAAAAAAAATCCTAACATACTGACCTAAAATGACCTTTGACCTTGACTTTGTGACCAGGAACTTGCGGAATAAGATTTGTGATACTTGATAACTCTTGTGTACAAGTTTCATAGAATTTGAACAAAACACTTTTGAAAATATTCTAAAAATTCAAAATCTTGATGTTGATGCCACGAAAGAGTCTAAGTTTGTTGACCTGAAATGACCTTTGACCTTAATTAAGTGACCTGAAATTCTGCTCACATGATTGGGAATACTTGATAACCCTTTAGTCCAAGTTTCATTGAATGAGAACTTATATTTTCAAAATTGTACTAAATGTTCAAAAACTTAACCTTAGGTTAAATTTTTGATGTTGACGCCGCCTCATCTCGTATTATGAATAGCGACCCTCGTTTCGTATTATGAATAGCGACCCTCATTTCTTATTATGAATAGCGACCCTCATTTCGTATTATGAATAGCGACCCCCTTACTCCTATTATAAATAGAGACCCTCATTTTGTATAATGAATAGCGACCCCCTACTCCTATTATGAATAGCGAACCTCATTTTGTAT